TATTTTGGCAAAACCTCTAAAATGTGGTTATTTTGTGGCAAAGGGTTGTGTAAACCGGTTATTTTTATAAATTTCCCTTATAATTATTGTTGTTTTGGTCCCTATAATTTCCAATTCTTTAATGTTTAGGTCTGTGTGAATTAATCTACGGATAAAAATAACAATAAATTATAAACTACAAGGATGAAAATCGTAATTTTTAAAACCACAGAACAAAAATCATAATTATTAACAAACCATAGGAACGAAAATGGTAATTTACCCATTAAAATATTAAATAATTTTTACTAATAAACAAAAAAAAAAGATTTTTATTTTAAAAAAAACTTGAGATAAATGTCGTAATTTTTAGGGTTTTGTTGCAATTTTTCCTTTTTACATAAGTTGCAGATACGAAATTGTTAGGGATGTTTACTGTTGAATTTAAACGGTTTAGCTTCTTAAACCACAAACCAAAATGTAACAGTGGTGTCGGAAAATTTTCAAATTGAGCGGTTTGGAAGCAAGTGATCAAACCGGTCAAATAAAACCATAAAAAGACGGTCTGGCCTAGGCATAAAAGTTGAGTCTACATCATGAAACTAAATATAATTAATACACATGTATGTTGGCGGTCGATTATGTCCAAACCGGTCAAGAAAATGTTCAAATTGCAGACCGGATCAAACGGTTTGTTTATTTTTCAGACTGAACCAGATCGTTAGACCGTTAAAACCGACAAAAACGATCCGATTTAACTTGATTCGACCGGTTTAAACAGTTAAATCATTTTTTAAAACACCCGTGTAAATTGTCATGTACATTGTACCATTTTTTGCACACACGTATTCACACTTCCTACGGTGCACATATCACAAGTCTTTGGGAAAACACACATTCTTCATCTATAAAGATCTCAAAACCCTCTTTTCTCTTTCAACTGCGTAGTTGAAACAGATGTTTACCATCAAGACTTCTTTCTCTCTATCTGTTATGGATCCATCATTACCTCAAGAACCCCAAACCCTGAAATCATCAGTTGCTTATTTCATTAAGACAAAATTCTCTTAACTCTTCAATGGCAATGCTTTCTGGGTGTTCAAGAGACGTTTCATACAGCCAAAATTTCCATTCCTACTTCAATTATGAAGAATCCAAAAACCCGATTCAAGAAATCTTTGAAAAGCCCCAATTGATTCTTGAATCAATTGGGGTATCAGCTGAGAAATTATGTGAAAGAACAGAGACTAATGAGTCTAACTGATGATGATGCATTTCAGTTGGTTAGTGTAATCTTTGTAACATGAGAGCTAATTCTGCATGCACCTGTGAAGGTAGTTTGCAGGGGGTGAAAAAGCAATGGGGAGTGAAAGGGCAAAGGTGTCTTTTCACCTAGCTTCAATTCCAAGGCCACAGGATGTGTATAGGATTATGGTGAACAATGTGAATAAGCCCTTTGAGCATGTCTGGTTGCCAATAAGTGAGGATGGATCCAGGTTCATACACCCACTGGTTAGTTTTCTTCTTTCTTTTATATCAAATGTCATGTTTTTGCTTGTTTTATATCATCATTTGATTGTTATTTATGATTATTAGTAGAAGCTAAGTCACATTATTTTGTGAGATGGGCACAGAAAATGGAGAACTAATGAAAATGATGTAAACGAAAAATGTTCGATATCTTGAAAATGTTATTCTTCCTGTTTCTTTATTATCTGACAACGAAATCTCTTATAGGAGAGGTTTTCAGTTTAGAACTTCGTTGATCAAAACACAAGGGATATCAAGCCTGTAATGCCGCCACCGGTTGAATCTACACCGTTCAAGCTTGTGGAAGAAGTAAAAGATTTGAAGGAGCTCGCTGCAAAGTTGCAGGATGCCAGTGAATTTGCAGTACTGTACTCTGCTTTCAATCTTCTGGTTTGACTTTTGAGAGTCAAACAAACTATTTTTCAACTTAAAAATCAACGTAAATTTGTATACTTTTTGTTATGAAATCATAACCACATTAAGCCATTTAAGAAAGATACAAACTAACCAAAAAACAGTGTTCAAAATCTTAAAAGAATTTATATGAATTTTGAATGTGAAGTATATAATGTTTGACATAACCACAATGGTGGTGTCAGATTGATTTGAGGTTTGGGCTCACAAAGCAGGTGGTTGTCCTGGAATTAGTCAGCTCGCATAGCGGGTTGGATATCCGGGTTAATCAAAAAAATGTTTGACATTATCATTTAATGTTTTTGTTTTTGTTTAGATCGATTTGGAGCACAACCAGTATCGATCATTCCAAGGTTTGACGTGTCTGATGCAAATATCTACGAGAACCGAAGACTTCATTGTCGATACGCTCAAACTTCGGGTTCATATCGGTCCATATCTGCGCGAGATTTTTAAGGATCCTACCAAGAAAAAGGTAAGCCTTCTTCATAGAAAATGTGACTCATTTTATACCAAATGTTCACTCGTTATAACGATATAATCTATCAGGTTATGCACGGAGCGGATAAGGATATCTTGTGGCTGCAACGAGACTTCGGCATATATGTTTGCAATATGTTTGATACTGGACAGGTATATTTCTCAACTCTAATTTTCGGCTGGAACACATTATATTTTGATCACTTGACGTGTTATGAATTCTGAAATCTTAGGCCTCGCGGGTGTTGAATTTGGAGAGAAATTCTCTCGAGTTTCTGTTGCTGCATTTCTGCGGGGTTTCTGCGAATAAAGAGTACGTATCATCCCTCTCTTGAACAGAACATGGTAGTAGTAATGGTGGTGAGTATGGCCATGTGGGTAGTAGTCTGAAGGCAGTGGTGGAGGAATGTGGTGGTGCTGTGGTGGCACTGTGGTGGCTGTTTTTGTTATGGTAGAATGTATTGATTGTGGGTCATCCGGGAGGGTCGTGGTTGCGGTGGTTGTGTTCTCCTTACACTCGAAAACCAGAAAATGATTTCCAAACGTGTCGTTATGTGAAAAAAGTAGTTGCTATTCGCTGCTTATAACTCTTTGATCGGGAAATTCTTGCAGATACCAAACCGCAGACTGGCGATTGCGCCCGCTGACTGATGAAATGCTGCGGTACAACACGCTCTATCATATCAACCCGTCATTCTTTCTTTTTTGTATCTGTAGCGGAGGCTAATAATGTTTACATAATCTCGTTTCGGGTATTTTCCAACATTTTTCTGGTTTTTATTTCGACAGATATGCAAGAGAAGACACACATTATCTTTTGCATATATATGATGTTATGAGAATAGCGTTGGGTTTCTCGTATCGGGATCTAGAGCATCCTGATGCACTTATCGACGTAAGCTCCACCAGTCAATTCTTGATGTATTTCATGAGGTTTTGTATGTTGTTCATGATTCAAGGCTATTTCAAGTAGCGTTTCAAAAAGCTAGCTGTTATTGCTAACCAAAAAGTTAGCTTATTGTTGCCAGATATGGCTGAAGTCATTGGAGACGACTCATATAAAGAGTTACGTTGTTCTGATTATTGTTGCTTTCAGGTATATCGGCGTAGCTACGATATATGTATGCAGCTGTATCAGAAAGACGTTCTCACTGAGTATTCGTATCTCAATATTTACGGGTATGTCGCTCATGGTTTCAAACTCGACTTGACTAGCAACAACACATTTTCTTGTTTTCGTTATTTTGTTTCACGGCATCTTGATTGATCAATTTATTTAGAAAATCTACTTATAGACAACACTCGATGTTAGGTTGCATGCCGCTGATTTCAACGGTCAACAACTTGCCATCGTTGCGGTAAGTCGCCATAGCGTGTTTTGCAAAGACTTTGTGTTCTTTGACATGAATATAAATCACTTGTCCCCAAACTCCATGACTACGCCAATCAATTCCTGACACATCATTACTTTATTTAATTCATCTTTTTATTCTCTTTTCAATAAAGTAATGACACTTGGAGTTTGGGGACAAGTGACTTGTATTCCTTTGACACACACATACACACATATAGGGTTGGGTTAAGGAAAACACAAAAAAAATGAGGAACACCCTAATAACCATTCATATGTCTGGTATACATATGTGCAAAAAAATAATTTGTCTGGTATGCACACGTGCATAGAAACTAGGAAACGTTTTCAATTACTTTTATGCATATGTGCATATCGGAAAATGGTTATTATGGTGCACTTCAATTTTCCATTTTTTGTGGTTTTCCCCTTAACCGAAGTCTATACATACATATATATATACATACATATATATATATACATACATATATATGGGAATCTCATATATGTTTGAACGGTTTGTTCGTAAATGGCATGCAGGGGCTTTGCGAATGGCGAGACATTGTCGCACGCGCAGAAGATGAAAGTACCGGATATGTATTGCCGAACAAAAGCTTAATCGAAATTGGTAGCTCGAATATAATCCTTTTTCCTGTGTTTTTCAGAAGTCGAATTCGAACTCTTTGTTACTGTTTATATCGCATTACTATGTGTTTCCCTGCCTTATTTTCTCTTATATATATAGCAAAGCATATGCCATTGACAACTGGGGATCTGCGTCGCCTGTTGAGATTCAAGCATCCTCACGTCGAACGCAACCTCGGTGCTGTTGTAAGCGTTATTCAGCATTCTATGCGGAATGCAGCTGCGTTTGAAAACATGGCCAACAAAATTAAGCAAGAACGCTTGCAAATGGTAAGCATCGAGCTTGCATTTTTCTTTTAACTTTATTTCGTAAACGTCATTTGCACCGCAACAAGATCGTTTTAATAAGACACTGTATCATGTCTAAATGATCTGATAGACTCTTGATTAGAAAAATGGCTAAAAAGCGAACTGGGTTGGAGAGATGGACCATTTTAGAATATTTTTCAAAATTATCCTCTAAAAAAAACTAATACGACAGTTTATTTCAAAAGTGTCATAAAAAACTTGTTAGGATGCCCAAATAGGCCAAAATATCCTATTGTATCCCCTTCATATAAGACTCACAATTGTTTGGTGCTAAAAACTTGAGTCCAATAAAACTGTCTATCAGGACATTTAGATATCTTTGACGTTGTATAAAGCCAATTCTGTTGTAGTGATAGTTGTTTCTAATTTACGATTTTGTGTTTTTACATTTTGGTTGGTGTTCATTCAGGACGCTATGCGAATGGCACAAAAAGCATTCGAAGAAGCTTCATTTTGGCCAAATGTCGCACCGGGAGCATATAGCTGCAGCCGAGGTGTTGCAAATCAATTCGAAAACGAAGTTGAAAACCTTCTTGCTAGAATCAACCGAAACCATCAACCGGAGGGTCCTTCTGTGCGTGGTGGTGGCCGCAGCAATTGGGATGTGCTGAACAGATCTGGGCTAATGAGCACACAACCGTTGAATTATGTATGTCATTGATGGCTTGTAATCTCGGCCCGCTTATGTGATGTAACGATAACATGCATAAAAGTAATGCAAGGATCTGTTTGTATGCAGGGTCCGGGACCAAGTGGTTGGGTTCAAACGGATCGAAGAAGTTGTGGGTTCGGGATTGGGACGTTGCCTGGAAATGCAGCAGGAAACAGGAAATTTGACCGCGGTAAAAAGGTAACGGATGCAGTTATCAGACTGAAATTAATTTGTAGGGATGTCAAATTCGTACCAAACAAAACCAGCCAATATGGATACCAACTGTACCAACTGGAAGCCCGTGAACGGGCCAACAGGGGATGTCGCGCTTAAACGCGCATGACTTTTGCTCCGCATCTCTGTTTTGGGCTCACGATTCGTCGATCCGAAGCTTAGGACGAGGAGCATGCCCTAGGTAGGACCCAATGAGGTCTATGGGATTTTTAGGCCTAAAAGCGTCATCTAACCTGTTTAGGTTTTTATGGTTAACCCATCAACTCTTTTCAAGCCCATTTGCTTTTGGACTCTTTTCGGGCTCTTTCTGAATTCGAGTTTGAGCCTATTGCAATGGTGCCATGCGGTTGTGATTCGAACCAAAAACCAAACCGGGACCGAACCCAGTTTTGTCAGAGTTCATGTTATAGTATTGACTCGGTTCGGTTTGTTTTACAGCCGATGGAGGAGACAAACTTCAAGCAGATCCATCCGTTTTCTTCTTCTACGAAAAAACCCAAGCCGTTGCATTCGGCCATGAACGAACCTGCTAATGCTCAAGAAACTCCAAACCGTGACGCACCCACTGCAACATCATCTAAGCTGGAGCACATAACGCTTTTGCAAAATTCCGGTCCCGTTACGGCTGAAGAGAAACGTGATAGGGAAGAGAACGTATCGGATCTATCATCGAGCTTCCAGAAGTTGCTACAGATGAAAGCGGAAAAACCGGAGGAAGGTGGTGGCAAGGGGTTGTCGGAGGTGGAGCGATTCGATCATGCAGCGGCTGGGAAAGAAGCGAATTTGGGAGAAAGCAATGAGGAGAAGAAGTGTGGCGGAGATGTCTAGTTCGGCGTGGCGGACAGGGGTTTCCGGCGACGGAGTGTAATCGTGAGCGAAACAAATATATTATAATAATTTAAAGATCAAAACTATGGATTTCTTATTAATAAGTTTGAAGTTGAAACAAATGACAAGTGATACTGACGAGACTTTTGGTAGATCTCCTTTCTATGGATGAATTTGGCATTTGGTACCAAATATAATAATTTAAAATACATGGGTTTTTCTGGTTTTAATCTTAAAATTCATTTGTTAGGGACCGTTTACTAAGTGCTTATCCGGTAAGTACTTATCGGGTAATTTTCCTCATCAGATGAATATGGCAAGGGCCAAAAGTCTTACCTGGTAATAGCGATGATAAGGATGGAAAGTCTTATCCGGTAAGTGAGGGTGACGACTCTTGCCCGGCTAAGCGCTTACCAGGTAAATTGTTGTATATGATACGTTTTGATGTACTATAATCTTACCCAATAAAATAAATTATAATGTTGACTCATAACGTTAAACACTTACCGGGTAAACATGTAGGTAAACGGGCCCTTACTCTTGTTTTTCATAGTAAAATGACAGGTTTGCCACTTATTCGGTGGAGCATAACGGTTGTTATATAGAGTGACCTAATGGTCTTGAGATGTGCATGTCACAACCGAAAACGAATCAAAAGCTGAAGTCATATTAAGTCGTGTGCTCTAGTATGGTGAAAGCCCTTTCCAAAACCGTGAGGTAAACCTCATATCTCTACCAGGCGTACTTAAGACAGGAGTGTCATGAACATCTTGAACTTTCTAAAAACGTATTGTGTGTTGTATTTGTGATGGATGAATGATTTGTTATAAATTTTACAAATATGATAGGCATTTTATGATTATTGCAACAAGATAAATGTTATATGTTTCTATGTTTGCATAATACCATGGTCTTAAGACACTCTGAAGGGGCGTTTGGTTGACATAACGGAGACAATTAACCAACATAGTGGTTGTCTGGTTGAGAGATGGGGTATATGATGGAATATCTTATCTGTTCGGGATTCAATTCCAGACGTCTATAACAATTGTGGTTATTGAGTTTATCATGATTGATGTCTTATTGTCATGATTTACAGTAATTAATTTGGACATGGTTTAAGACACCCTTTTAAAAAAGAAAAAAAAAACAATGGAAACAACCTTTCTGGATATTCCTCAATGTCCCAGGTATTCACGGAACGTGAGAAACAGATGATTTCCAGAAGAAATCGAAGAATTTCTTGGGAATCCTACAAGATTCGTTCGTTCTTTTTTCTCTGACAAATAGTTAGAACTTCATCTGGGTTCGAATTCTACTGAGAGGTTCACTAGAGATCGGTTGATACATTTTTATCCAAACAATTATCATAATATTGGATTTGCATCCCCTCAAATACGGAATATTATTTTAGGGATTTGAATTTTATAAAAAAAATTAATAAAATTAAAATTTCATTATTTATAAATAATTTTTATTAATTTTATTATAGGAAAATTGCACCAAAATGGAACCAACTGTCACCTGATTTCTATTTTAGGGAACCAACTTTCAAAATTGTCATTTAGGGGTCTTTATCAAACTTTTTGTTTATTTAAGGGTCTGGTTGACCTGTTGACCTGTTAATGCTGACATCATCCATATATTTTGCCAACTAAGATATTCCACGTCATATTAATTTTTTATTTTAAAATTAATATTCCACGTCATATTAATTTTTTATTTTAAAATTAATATTTCACGTCATATTAATTTTTTATTTTAAAATTAATATTCCACGTCATATTAATTTTTTATTTTAAAACTAATATTACACGTCATATTAATTTTAACTAGTATTCCACGTCATATTAATTTTTTTATTTTAAAACTAATATTCCACGTCATATTAATTTTTTTATTTTAAAACTAATATTCCACGTCATATTTAAAATTGCAAAATAGTTATAGAAAAATAACTAAACTTCGTTTTTTATTTTCAAAAATTATTGTAATAAAATCTATTTTTCATTTCAAATMTCGTTTTTTCAATAAAAATTCAGATATCAAATTAAAGATTTTTTCAAAAAAAAAAAATCCAAATTGCCAAATAAAAATTGCTTTTTACTAATGCAATAAAAAATTAATTTAATAGAAAAAATTAATTGATGCAATAAAAATAAATATCAAATTCAAGATTTTTATATCCAACCAATCTGTATCAATTTTAAAGTTTAAATCAAATTTAGCAAATCAAACCAAAATAAAAGTTTGTTCATAACGTTCAAATCATCAAGATTAGAATGAAGTCGATAACAAGACATTGTTACAAAAAAAAATGGTTGAAAATCTTCAATCTTCGACTGCTTGAATCATCCTTATCAAAGTTAACCATCAACCGTAAATTATGGAACTGATCGAACTTTATCARGTAGTGTACATCACCTATATCAACTTGCCCTATGTAAACATATGCAAGTTAGTGCAAATATGTAAGTTATATGCAAATATGCAAACAAAGTGTGATTATACATATTGAAAATACCTTCCCCAGTAGTAATTGGTATACTCGTCTCAAAATTAACCTGTGAAATCTRCAAAATAAACATACTTCTAGCTTCAATATTTGATTCATTCAAACACAACGTGAATCACAATTATTATACTTACTCCTATAATCGTATCTCGTGAACTCRTACTTCTTGAACCCCTACCTCTTGAATCCCTTCCTCTTTATATATCATGTATTCTTTTCTAAGAATTTAATTTTTTGAAATATCCTTTTGTACTTGATTAGGCTTTATGGCAACCCACTACATAATCCTTCTTTAATGGCATTGGGRGTGTTGTCAAATGGTTTGACAAACAGTTTAGAACTGTTGTCAGTTGGATCCTGTATTATGATCTGCTACTATGCTAATAATAAACTAATACAGCTTCTTGCGAAGTACCAACGAAATTTTTAAAATTAATTAAAAGAACAACCACGAAAATACAGATTATGCCTCACAGCTTCAACAAGATGGTGGGAACCTCTTTACTCTTGGAACAAGAACCAGGAAACAAATTAAAGAACACAAGTGT